GGCCTCCGTTTGATGCAATTTTTATATCACCGTGATCACCATTCTTTTCTTTACAGGTTGACCGGAGCCGAATCACCAAAACACGAACCTCGCCGGAGAGCCGCCGCACCCGAGAGCGCCACCGCCGGTAAGCTCCGTTTTTCCGTATTTTTTTGGCCCCCCGAGGGCCTTAGGGTTGTTTTCTCACAGGGACCGCTGCGAGTGTGGCCGAATTCGGCCGAAAACAGCCAACCCGAGGCGACTCGCCGCCGCCAGCGGCGGCGCCGTCGCCGGAGCACGGCGAAGCCGCCGTGCCGGAATTGCGATTTGGGCCGAAAGAGGCCCTGGGCCTAATTTGGGTTTTTTTTTGGAACACGTGCAGGTACCGTTAGTGTGTTTTAGTTCCCCGGGAAAAATTCAGGAAAAATTAGGGACGGCCTGTAGGCGCACTGTGAATCGTATTCAGATCCCGAAAACAAGTAAGGACCCCTCACCCTATTTCCTATCACGGTATTAAAGTTCAAAATGATAAAACGGTATTTCTTGAATTAACGCATGTGTGAAATTGACTAAGGTTGCTAATGGAGCCCGAGTCTAGTGTGATTTATGATTTACTGTTATTTGGCATGTTTTACAGCTTTAAATGCATTATGAGGTTTGATGTGTTCATTTTATAGTTTCGAGTGCATATATTACTGTTTTATTTATTTATGGTTGAAAGACTGAAGAACTGATACTGTATGTTGTCTGCTTGGCATGAATTACGATTTGCTTTCTTAAATGTGAATTGATGATGCTTATTGAGGAAAAAAGAAAATGAAAGATTGTGTAGACTGATAATTGTATGATGGGGTTAGCCTGACTAGATATCCTGGGAGATGGTGGACGGACCGGGTCCGTAGGGAACCCTACCGAGATTGGGGTCTCACATGCCGGACGGGGTATGGAGATCTTATGGTTTTGGCGCCCATACCGGACGGGGTATGGGGACGGCCCGTTTCACCCTCATACCGGACGGGGTATTGAGGTTTATGGTTTTGGCTCCCATACCGGACGGGGTATGGGGACGGCCCTGGAAACTGATTATGAATGTTAAAGGTTAACGGGTAGCGGGACCCCTATGGACCCCCATGGATACTAGTAGGCTGGTAAATGAGAAAATGATATGTTGTATAATGATTGAATTTCAAAATGCGTGATAAGTGCTATGTTTTACAGCTTATATTATTCTATGATTGTGATAATGTTATTGTTTTCTTATATTGTTTCATGAATTCCACCGAGGTAAGTGGATGGTAAAGGTTTTATCATAAATAAAAAGGATTTGTTATAAATCATGCTCCATTGGTCTTTTGTGTTTTTCTACCCACCTTTACCTCCGTGACGGTGAGATATCGTGATGTTCTTACTGGGTTAGTGTAGCTC